CCTAAAGCTACAACTGACAAAAATGCATGCAACTTGTCTATTTAAAGTTCTGCTCTGGGACATGTGTAACCTTATGTAACCTTTGCACTTAATCAAGTTCCCTATTGCCCTATTATATTATCCTAGGTCATTAACATTATAACATCAATCTCTTGCAAACAAAGGAATTTACATTTCCAATAAAGGAAGGAAACACTAAGAATTGGTAACAATTAAAACATTTTAAAACAGTAAATGTGTTTTTCCAGTGAAGACTACTACTACTATGCTCTTGGCATCCTGAAGAAAGTAAAAGGCAAACATTAATTGAGCTAAGAGGAAGTACAACCCAGTATTCAAACATGGTGTTATAAAGAAAGATGACCATTAAGAAATAGACAGGAGGTTTTTTTCTTTTCAGCAAGACATATTTTTTTATATTTTGGTAACCCCTGCAACTGATTAGTTCAAAATCTTAGTCTGTCACAGATATGGTTACTCTCTTTTTTCTTTTGATTTAGCTGCTCAATCAAACATGTTTTAAGGCTCTGGTTTTAGTCTAAGGATAACTTTCAAACTTTTATGTCACTATTTGATGACAATTGATGCTGGCCTTTTACAAAGGCTTTGATCTTACTTATTCATGGAACAATAAAATAATTGTCAGAGGAGGAGATCAGGGATATATAAAACGGAGTATGTTGAGGATAAGAGGTAAATATTAATCCAAACAAATCATATTTATACAAACAAGTTTTTGTGGAGGCTATTTTTGTTACTTTATTGGTGCATGTTTAACAAATGTACCAAGGAAATTTATAATTATGATTATTATGAATTTGACATTGTGATAATCACATACCTTTCTTGGTGCAGAAGAATTAACACCATTACAAAAGTAACAGACACCAATACTGGTATCTCTTCATTGTATATAGTGCCCTGCACATTTTCTTCCTGGTGGAAAACAAAATCAATTCTCCAATGTAATGAAACCAAAGATAAGAAAAACTACAATCTTACATGTTAACATTTCTTGGCAAACTGGAACAAATTTCAATGTCCTCATCTGCAAATAGAACAGTGTTAGAAATGCAGCAACACAAGTTGGTAAAAAACCATCTTGTGTCATTCAGACCAATTATATGTAAGGTAATAAGAAAGATGTTCATTTTTGCGTGGCTTACACAAATTGTGTAGCCACATTATGGCACGATCGGATTTAGTTATTTATTTCTACATGAGAGTCGAGCGCCTGTCACGTGGTCTAGTATCGTAGTATTGTACGGCGCACTAATCTGAGTCAGCCATCTTGATTGTAAGCGTGGTCTCGAGTAATTTTTTTCAGGTGATCGTATCACGAGTTAGTTCCCCTCGCACAAGCCAACACATTCAGACCCGGCTTGTGTTATAAGTGCAGCTTGTGCAAGAGCTTCTACGTTCTTAAAAGACAATATTTAACTGCTTGAATCTTCGGTATGGGTTGTACCACACTGAAAGGAATTGTTGCACTATCACAAGCCAACAACTATCGGCTTGATCGGTGCAGGTTGCACCACTGAGTGTCTGAAAGTGTTTGAAAGTGTTTTAAAGTGTCTGAAGCCACCTGAAAGTGCCAGAAAGTGAAATAAGTTGTATTGCAGTTGCTTTCTCCTTGCACTGTTGAGAATTCACGGAGGCATATCTCAAAACGAAAAAGTGAGTATGGGAATCTCGATTGAACAATACCAGTCAAGTATTTGCTCTCATGTCAATTTCATGAAAACCAAGAATATCTCATCACGTTTTGATGATCATTGTTGGAGTTTAATGTTTGTGATGTTCTATTTAAATGTATTTGACTTGCCAGTATTGAAACAAGTTGTTGGACAACACAAGATGTGGAATGATGTGATGTTTTGGTTTTCACAAATTATTTTCTACAATGCCTATATTCCATTGCTTATAAGGCAGGCAAATGATGTAGAGGAAAATCCAGGCCCTACAATATTTGATGTCGTCGATCCAACAAGAACAATATGTGCTGGCTACAGTCGAGGAAATGAAGCTCTCTTTGGTGAAAATGCTGTAAGAACTGTGGGTAAAGTTTCCGCACAGCCCCATACTATTGTAAAACAAATCTGTTTTCCCAACGGAAATGTATTGTTTTTGTCATTGTTTCCTCTGTTCAAGAACTGAATGCATAATGTAGGATGGGGCTGTGCGGAAATTTTACCGAAATGTGTTGCAATGTCACTTACTGCTATTATTTATCATTACATAGAAGATATCAATTTGTGGACTTCTTTCCTTTTGAATAATATTCTTACCATTGGAAATAATTTGTATACTTCTTTAAGATGTTCTGTCCAGACAAATGATTATTTGCTTTTAACTGATGTTCCATGCATTGTTTCAATTTACAATAATGTATACACATTAGAATATAGTGAGTCATTAACAGGAAGTTTGTTCATGACATCAAATAATGGGCCATACATGTCTCTTCAAAATTCTCTAACACAAGGGTTTTCAAATTATC